CCAGTATGAACCAACGACCAGTGCAGAAGCTGTCTCTTATACACATCTAGATGTGTATAAGAGACAGGAATAATATTCAGGAATACCATAGCAATCATAATCTTCACTGGAACAGTGCAAAACATGTAACATCAATGCAAAATCAGACATTTTATAACTAAAGCACTTCACAGCCATCATGATTGATTGACCTCGAATTGACCTTTTTTTTTATGGTTTTAATAATTTGGCAAACATGCGAGGAGCAGATGCCAATCCATTAATTGGCAAGCAGGTAAATTGAAACAATTGACCTTTCCAAATAAATTTTAGATATTTATGATGTTCTGCAGCAATTGGAATCGAGTAATAAGCATCTTTTAAATCAACAGATGCCATAAAACACCCCGGCGTAACGAGACGCAATGCTGTCTCAAATGTGTCCATTTTTAAATGACGATATTGAACATGGTCATTCAAAAACTTTAGATTCAAAATCATTCTGAAGGAGCCATCCTTCTTGGGTACTACAAAGATTGGGGAGATAATTCCCCCTCACAATGTGTTGAATGTATTATAGCATGCTTATCTAGTAATTTACTTATTTCAGTCTCAATATGGCCTGCTTCTGATGCATTGAATGTAGTTATTTTTGGATGACCAATTTGTACTGGTGGTGTGTTATTAACCAACTCAATGTGCGCATGTAGTGCTATATCAATAATTCTCTCATCTGAGGTAATATCCCTCCATTGGCGTTCAAATTGTTTCAACCTTCCTGCTTGGAAGGATGTATCAGACAAAATAGGTATACTTACTGGGGGTTCTGTATGATGAGTCTCTACTTTTGCTTGTGAGACTTGATCACCTTCCCCCTGTAGTAGTTTTTTGACTCATGGTAGTGGTAGTTCCCTCTGCCCCTACCGCGGCCTCTGAAAAAGCCATGACCTCTCATTCTGCCTCTCTGTGTATTGTAGAATGGGGTCTTGAAACCAGTAGTTGTAGTGCTAATTCTGCTACCGGCTCTGTTTATTTCCTGAATATCTTTAACTCGCCTCGAGACATCATCGCCAAACAACATATCAGTAAATGGGGCAGATGGTGAACAAAGATGAGAATAATCCTTCTTTAAATCGGATTTCATACAGTTCCGTCTTCTCAAATTTAAATTTCGATTTGAATTGCCCAGCAGGGCTAAAGCATCAATGCCCAGGTCAATGAGTCTTTGATGAGATCAGGGCTATCCTTATGCTTTGCAATCTCATTTAACAAATAGGTCAAATATGTTGATCCTTTTACAAGACCAGTTTTTCAGGTCTAATTATATCCCAAACCAGCTGGTTGACCCTGACATTAGATAGGCCCTCGCAATTCTCTGGCCTACTAGTTTTCCTTGTTAGGTCAGTACACTTGTCCTCACTAGTACCCTCTCTAAAAAGGGTATTAACAATATTAGCTAGATCCTGGTCTATGCCTTTGCCACAACTTTCCTTATTAAGAAGTTTTCCAGCCATATCTTTGAATAAACTAACAGTGCATTCCTTCTCCATATCATCAACCCTTTCTTCGGGTAGGCTAGGTTGTGGAATATCAAGGGGATCAGCGACCTCAGTCTCACAGTTATAACAGAAATCCTCCAGGTCCCCCACCTCGAGCCAAATCTTTGTTGGCCCTCTCGAATCTCAGTCAACATTGTAAGAATGGCCGAGCCTTCCTCGACAAGCCGAGACTTATGTTTCTTAGCCTTAGGCTTTGTAACATCTTGTTACAACTTGTGCTAGCCGCGCTAGCACTAGATTCTTTCGGAGATAGATCAGTCACACTGTCCTTCAGTTTATTATTACTTGGCCTAGGCCTAGCAACCGTATCGGTAGCAGCGCCAGCTCCGACGCTCGTTAGACCCTCGATCGATATCCGCAAAATTCGCCGGTGATAGCGGCGAGGCCATCTTGTCAATATTAGCCCTAAAAAAATTACTTACTTCCAATTAATTATAACCTGTAACATCAAACACTTCAACCTATGAAGGTTGCAGGTTAATTTATAATAAGCAGAAACACACTACGTGTGTTTATTAACAGAATAATTGAAGTATAAATCTGAACAAAATTCACCATACACCGTACGGCAAATTAGTGTTGCTAAGAAAAGCTGTGCATGCGTGTTGCCATCTCATGGGATCCCTGAGTGTATGATGACGTAATAGAATGTCAAATTAGCTCATTTAGCAAAACAATATTTAAAAAATTTAATATAAAAAATCGAACAATTAACTATTCAAAGTATGATATTTCAGTCTTTGTTCAACGTCAGGAAGTTCATAACTGTGGCGTGTGGGCGTGTGGGTGTGGGTATGTATAGGTATATGTATATGAATGTATATATGTATATATATATATATATATATATATATATATATATGAAATTTGAATAATATAAACAATTTGAAAAAAAAATAGAAAACAGTTTTTAAGCAGAATATACTATATTTTATCGAAATGATTTTTGAAAAAATGGAGAGATTCATTAGCGTTTGTGTTGTATTTGTAATTTAAATTATATTTATAACTATATTCTTTTGCTTCTTTTCCTAAATTTTAAATTTAATTTTAATTTAATATAAATTTAAAATTAATTTTAAAAATAAAATAAATAAAATAATAAAAAAATATATTTAAAATCGAAAATAGACTTGTAACACAGAATAAATCCATGTCAGTCGTTGACTCTTGGAACATAGAACTTAATTAAACAAAAATATTTCGATCGCGCCTGCGTCACGTACAGTGTTAAGCTACATTTACACTACGATTACGACACGTTAACGACACGAGACAGATGCGCGCAGTGTTGAAGAATACAAACTACGCGATATGTCGTTGTCGTGGCGTTATCGTGTCAAATGTAAATACAGCTTTAGACGACTACTGAATTAAAATAGGCTTATCAACGTAACTAATATGTACAAAATCGCATATCCATATGCGATTTCGTATACGTTGACATGATAGACATAAATACATTTTTTTAATTCGAATATTTTGAGCACTCCTGCGCTCTTCCTCATCGAAACACTTATGATTAAAACAGCTTTACAAACTAGCAAACGGAGATAAACAGCTTATCAGTGACTGAGATAAACCATGATTGTGAGATATGTACAGTATAATTAAAGGAGGGTTATAATGGGCGGTAAAAACAAAGGAGATAAAGATAAATTAAAGAGCTAATCTGCCGACTGTAGGCCTATGGTTTCAATAGCCTGGTTCACGTCGAACTTTATCTAGATATACCCGTCTTGAAACATGATACGATAATCCCCTAATTGCGTTCGATGCCAAGTTAGAGCCAGATAAACAGCCAGCCAGTTTCAGGCCGTCGACGTCACATGGTCGGAAGGCTTGTTTAATAAAACATCTACTGTATTTTACGAACCTCTAGTACCAAGTGGTATTCGTTCAAAAAAAATTGTAAACTACTGTGAGAAGGTGTGAGTTTCCACTACCTAACCTAGCCGACCAGTATGAACCAACGACCAGTGCAGAAGCGTGTTCTATAGCAATCTAAGTGGCAGATTCTCTAGGCCCTGGCCCTAGCTACATTTACCTTCGATAAAAAACGAATTATTTTAATCGCTAGCTAGCATTCTTCCATTTAACAAAATAGTTTTTTAATTTTCATTAAAACGTATGTATACTTTATGGACCTTTCTGTCCTGTTTTGTAGTTTTTAGATCGCTCAATTGTGTTGTTTACATGCACTTTGCGAAAATCTAGCTTCGCGGTGTCAAATAAGTATCTAGATGTGTATAAGATCATCGTAAACATGTGCGCTCATTTTAACGACTGGCGTTGGTGGTAGTTCGTTGAAATTGAATTAATAGCGACTATTATAGCAGAAATAGAAAAGATTGAATTGTCAATAAATAAATACAACAAATCAGATTTTATTATTAAGACAAATATACATTATCACTTTGAAAAACGTACGCAATCGGACTTTTTAACGTTATTACTTGGTCGATGATGCAAAGGGCAAAGGTCATTGGTAATATCGACTATTCGTAAAACGGACGTTTGCTGGGTGTTTACCCAAAATATTACAAATAATTTCTGAAAACCAGACTAATGAGACTACTTCGATGCTGTTGTTAGCATTGTTGAAGTAGGTTATTGCCAGCCAGAAGATGATAATGGTGGTACAATACAACAAAGCTGGCTTAGATGCCTACGTTACGTAATCGTGTCCTTGTAATCCGAGCCGACTTTACCATTAAGCAAGTTAATTTACCGTTATTCTAGTAAAGTTAAGTCACTTAACTTAAGTGACCTAATTCCTTTAACTAGCTATAATTGAGTGGTTCAAGTCCAACTTTTAACTAGTTAAGTGGATATATATCTAGATAAAAGTTGGACGTGAACCAAGCTAATAACTTAAATAAATAAATATAACAAATACATAACAAATTAAAATGACAAATTAATAAAATTACAAATAAATAAATAAATTATTTTCCTTAATGAATAAATGAATGAATGAATTAATAATAGTATAAACTTAAATAAATCCGTATTTGTGCCATTTTTGTGAGTATTTAAGTTAATTTATCCATTTTAATTCTCTACAGCGTCGTCGGGAAAGGATTTGAAACCTATAGATAATTAAATAAACTTAAAGTTAATGATAGAATGGTTGCCTTGATTGAAATGCTTAGCTACACGAAAGCCTAATGAATTGTCTCTAATAAACTTATTGCATCTTATTCTAAATTTGCAACCAATTTCTCTGACGTATTATCCTACAATGGGTGCAGCAAATAGAATAAATGTAGAGGCGTTTTGCAAGTAGTTGTGTGTATATATCTGTCTCTTATACTAATGAGGTCAGCTTTCATATCATACACATCAACTGTATTGGTGAACAGGCAAATGTGAGTACATCAAGTACATCAATGTGATTTAATGCTAATCATCTATACACACATTATTTGTGCATAATGTAAAATGAGGTCAGCTGTCATATTATACACATCAACTGTATTGGTGAACAGGCACATGTGAGTACATCAATGTGATTTAGGGCCTGTTTCTACTGGAAAGAACTAATCGATTAAAAATCGCTTTTTCGAAAAATCGCTTTTATTCTCGCAGTAGAAACGGGACCAGTTTGAAAAAAGCGATTAAAAAAATCGATTAAAAACACGCAATGGATAGCGTGTTTGAACGGCAAATAACCGATTTGTCTGTGCACCTTTTAGCTGCAACGCAAAAAAAAGCGATTATCAGGTGAAATGTGACCTCCAGGTCAATCACTGCAAAGACTAGATAGTATTAGGCGCGAACTTTTAAAAAAAAATGTCCTCTTGTTCATATCCTAGGCCTACAAGCTAAAAACATCAACAAACATGAGGAGTGAAGAATTAGTTTTGTAATTATTTTGTGGGCGGGGGAATATTGGGCCTAGGACTTGGGCCTACCGTTGTCTTCGTTTGGTCGTCGTTCATAATTGTGCCGATGAGCCAGCCGAAAACATTTGCCTTCTCGCCCCACATCGTATCTTACTACTCGTCATTATGACAGGAATAACAAAGATACTATTCTATACAGTTAAGAAAACAACGTGTTGTATAAACAAAATGGTGACGTAATTTCCGTCACGAAAACCGATTTTTGAAAAATCAAAAATGCAGTTGCAACACCAGCAGGCTGTCTGGTACTCATTAAAATAAACGGTTTTAAAAAATCGATTATTTTGTGTTTATAAGTAGAAACACACCCTTAATGTCAATCATCTATACCCACGTTAGTTGTGAATAACAGGCACATGTGAGTACATCAATGTGATTTAATGCCAATCATCTATACACACATTATTTGTGTGCATAATGTAAAATAAGGTCAGCTGTCATATTATACACATCAACTGTATTGGTGAACAGGCAGATGTGAGTACATCAACGTAATGTAATTTAATGCCAATCACCCATACACACATTATTTGTGCATAATGTAAAATGAGGTGAGCTGTCATATTATACACATCAACTGTATTGGTGCAAAGGCACATGTGAGTACATCAATGTGATTTAATGTAAAATGAGGCCAACCTTCTCTTGAGTGTATGCTGAACACAGGATTGTAAAAGTATGTAAAAATGTGCTTGCATGAAAAATATTTAAAGTTGTTACTATGATTTTAATCAAAAGGATCCCACTGAAACACATTTTATGGCCTATTTTTTTTAATTTATTTTTTTTTGCTTAGGACATCAATATTTAGAAGGAATAAGCTGGCATTTAGTTTGGGGTAATTTTGTTTCACAAAACAAAAATCATTGTTTACAAAAAGTGACATAAGAACTCGCTGATCACCTATTCACAACATTTTACTCATGATGAATCAATAAATTGAATGGAGGTCATTTATGCAGACAAAAACTAAAATCAGACTGAGATGTATGTTCAAAAATTAAAACAAACTTCTATTCTCTTATCAAACAGTTGAATAAAATGTAGCGAAAATAGACATCTTGTAAGACAATTTATTGTAACGCACCACCCAAACAAATAATTTTTTTTTTACAATTGAAACATAATTTGCATAACTGGTATCAGACAGAAATTTTGTTCACTTATATCTGAACTAAAATTGTTAATGTCATTTTAAGCTCAGTCATAAATTGTGTAAATCTGTCCTGTAGGCCCTATGTTGTCTATGCTTGGCTCTGAGGAAACATGAGGTCAATAAGTACAGTTAAAGTACTTCTCTAGATATGGTACCAACCCTGTATATCCCCCACTGATCAGCATCAACATGTTAAATAACCATTAAACTTTTAATCTCTAGCACAAAAAACTCATCTTCATTAGAGTTTGATACTGGCATCTCTCTTTCAACTAGCAGCATCAAATAAAACTAGAAATACTTTTTTACGTAGTAAAAGCATAATTTTGATTGATTGTTTGCATTCATACCCATAACACATTTTATAGGACTTAAATTTAGAAATACTAATATTTCATTTACAGGTTATTACAACAAAAAGATGTATAATTTTTACATGACAACTACCCTACTGTACCTTCTCTGTAAAAAGGGATGTACAGTGAAAAATATTTTTTGTCGTGCTGTCATTGTGTTTTCAAGCCCAGTTATAAAGTATAATGAAAAATGAGGTCTG